AAAAATAGTCAAAATACGTTCAAAAAGGCCTCCTTTATTGTTCATAAGTCGCAAAAAGACGTGAAAAGCCGGCTTTTAGGCCGTTTTTTCGGCATATTTTCTCAGATTATGGGCGAGCGCGACCAGACCGAACTCGACCGAGACCTTCTCAAGGGATCTCAGTCTGAAGCGCTTGAAGCCGTGGTCGAACTTGATCTGCCCGAAGACCGCTTCCGGTTCTATCGGCCTCAGGCTTCGGTGCCGGAGGCCCTCGTCGCTGTCGAGCAGTTCCCTCGCCCTGGCTCTCAGCTCGTTGTTGCGGTGGTTGACCTCAATGGTTCTCGGTCCCTTTCCCTTGTGGCACAGTCCCCTCATCGGGCAACCCTCGCAGCGTTTGGCTCGGTATATGCTCACCGTGGAGACATAGCCCAGGTCGGATACCCTCCTCTCGTCGCCGACATGCTCCAGATGCTGTCCCATCGGGCAGACGTAAAAGTTGAGCTCGCCATTGTAGAACAGGTTCTCCACCCTGAAGATGTTGTTGCGGTAGCCGCGCTTCTTCTCGGCGTGGAACATGTTGTACTTGACGAATGGGGTGATGTCGTTGTCGAGCAGGTACTCGTAGTTCTGCTCGCTGCCGTAGCCCGAGTCGGCGACCACGGTGCCGCTCTGCCTGCCGTACCTCTGCTCAAAGGACTTCAGGTAGTCGATCAGCGTTCCCTGGTCTGTCGGCCTCTGGTAGATGCCGTAGTTGGTGACGAACTGGTTCTCGGTGGCTATCTGGACGTTGTATCCGGGCTTGGTCTGGCCGTTCATCATGTGGTCCTCCTTCATCCTCATGAACGTGGCATCCGTGTCGGTCTTGCTGTAGCTGTTGCGGTCGCCCATCTTCTCCAGGTGTCCCTCGTACTCGGCCTTCTTCGGGAGCATCTCGTCCCTGACCTTCTCGACCGCCTTGCGCCGGGGACCCTTGGCGATGCCGGCCTCGTCCATCTTCTTGAGCACCTTCTCGGTACGCGCCTTGAGGTCGTCCGCGCTCGGCTGCCCGCTCCCGGACTCGGACTCTTCCCCAAGGAGGGATTCCTCGGCTTCCGCCAGAACTGACTGGATCTGTGCCTCCAGCTTGGCCTTGCTCTTCTCGACACGCTTCTTCCAGACGAACGTGTACTTGTTGGCAGCGGACTCTATCTTCGTGCCGTCGATGTATTGGACGTCCAGGCTGACCAGGCCCTCCTCGTTGAGAAGCATCACCACCTGGGTGAAGATCCCGTCGAAGACCCCTTTCAGCCGCTTGCTCCTGAACATGTTTATCGTCCTGAAGTCCGGGCGGTTCATCCCCGACAGCCACATGTACACCACGTTCTCCCTGAGCAGCGTCTCTATCTTGCGCCCGGAGAAGACGTTGTCGAGGTAGGCGTAGGTGATCACCTTGAGCATCATCCTCGGATGGTAGATGCTGGTGCCGCCGGCCTTGTACTTGTCCTCTATGGCGCTGATGTCGAGCTTGTCTATCACGGCGTTCACCACCCTGGCCTTGTGGTTTGACGGTATCATTTCCTCCAAAGTCAGCGGAAAAAGTGCGATTTCGTTTTGTGCGTATGATTTATATACTAAATTTGCCATCGTATTCGATTTTATTCCTTGTTTTATAATTCACACTACAAATATAAGAAATAAATCGATACAAACAATGGTTATCTCGTTATTTTTTAACAAGATAACCATTTTTTTCTTATAAAAAATCAAAAAAAGAGGATGACTACTTTTTAGTCACCCTCAGGGGATGGATCGAGGAAAACTGACAGAAAGAAAAAGAAACAATAATAAACAAATACATCAAATGAAGAAATTAGCATTGACACTCGCAATCGTTCTTGGCATGGCCATGACGACTTTCGCCCAGGGTGGCGGAATCTTTGGAATGGGCGAAACCCGCGGCGAGAGCTACAGCACCCGCGCTGATGGCGACGGTCCCATGATCGCTCTTCCCGGTGAGCACGGCTTGGATGGCGACCAGGGAGCCACCCCAGTGGGCAGCGGTCTCGCAGTCCTCATCGGCTTCGGCGCAGCCTACGCTCTGAAGAAGAGAAACGAGAAGTAAAAAAAGCAGAAGACAGAAGACAGAAGTCAGAAGACAGAAGCTTTTCTGAATTCTGACTTCCGTCT